AAGTATATTTATATTACATTTTAGAATTAGTGATACCACCGATAGTGACTTATTTACAATTAATAATTATAATCTAATTTTATCAGTGCAACAAACGTACGGAATAAAATATGATTTACTTAACTTCTTACTAAAACGATATAATTTAAAATATAAATTATAAATTGAAAAATTTTAAATTTTTTTGAATATACATGGCATTCATTTTTCAAGTAACTCTGATGGGTCAGCTGTCCAAGAGTCCAAATCAAGGTCTAAAAAGAGAAAAAAATTTCCAAGAGGTCAATTTTGTCAACAAATATTAACTGTGGGTCAGCTGATCCCCTAAACCCCTACCCCCTAGTTCCGTCCCTGGCACTGATAATATTATTTGGTACGGTCGAATATTCCCTTTCATTTTTTAGTGGCTTGTCGACGAAGACGACTCCCTTGATCACCGAAAATATATTATTTTGTAAGAAATACACATTTTTCTCAAAGAAACGCGTACAGTTTTAAAAGATGACTCAATGTATTCCCGGTTAGGTTACGTTAGTTGAGTCCTATCCCAATGGCTAGTACAACTTACAAAATACGAATGCTTGTATGTACATGAAACGACTTATGAATATGTATATTCTATATGATATTAAGTTATAAATAATAATTTACGATAACGTGCAGATATTAAAGATATTTAGAAAAGAGAAATATAATATATAATATACTCAGTGCCCAAAACTTGTCTGTAAACTCATTTATCATTTTTAATTAAAATTTATTGTTATACACGTTATATTATATTCATTCATGGAATTGAAATTTACAGCGATAACCTTGGTGGTGCAAATAATTCAAGCGAGTCTGCTGTATGTCACCAAAAATTACATTTCATAATATTTCTTAATATCGTATTACTTCCTGTGTGCTGATAATATTGAAAGTAACGAGGACTTCTAATATTATTACTGATTGACGAGTGGTAGTCTGAAAATGATTATTAGAATTTAAAAAATGTTACAAAAACAGAATTAAAAAAAAAAAATGTTTTATAACTGTTAATAAAAACTTGTAGGTAAAGAAATAATTAAAATAATAAAACTATTTTCTTGGATTTTCTAATCGATTTAGGAATGAAAGTATCGATACCAATTAATACAACAACATCCATATTGGATACACAATCGTAATTTCAAATTTGGCGCAGCGTGACCGATACTTTCCGTGCCGTAACGTTTTGTCGCTCTGGAACGATGCCGGTGACGCCGAACAAATCTCGAATTTTGTACCCCCCCGGAGAGGGGATGGTTTATCGCAGCGGTAGCGTCCAGTAACCAATATCCGCGGTATTTTTGTTGTTATTATTTTTTATTCGTCTACCGGAACACGTCTCTTGACAAACGCGTCCGACATTTTTTTTTTATTATCTTTCCCGTCACCCGCCCGACGGTTGCTGTTCGTGTTCGTGGTATGCTCGTCGCGTACGATGTATTTTTGTATTATTTCTCATCCCCCGTCCGATTATTCTATTTGTTTAACCCGAACCGTGCTTATTCATATGACCACGTGTTATTTACAAGCACATTTTGTAAATTCGTCGATTTTTCAAGTGGTTTTCAAAGTAAGCGTGAAAAACGACGAGCTAATATGGTTCGTTGTTTATTTAATTTTTCTGATTCGTCAAAATGATACTGCTAATACGTTGCTACACGCAGACCCACTAGGAATAATTTTTTTCCCTTTTTAATGCGATAATGTTGCTACGCATAAATTTAAATTAATGATTTGCACCGCTGAGCGTCCTGCGCCGAGGTGAGCGAATTGGGACATTTGCCCACCGTAGGATTTGCTGACCGGACAGCTTTTTTATTTCAAACTTGTTCAAAGTCCATTGCAGAGGGTCACCTCACGTACGTAAATTTATAAGCATAGTACATTGTAGTGTATGTGTGGTGAACAAAGTCCGGAATTGCACTCTAAGCAATCCGTACACCGATTTTCATATTCTTGCGCATGGTGGAAAACAATTATGTAATAAAATAGATACAGTAATGTTATACGCGAAATTGATTATTATTTTATGAAATCTCAAAAAAAAACAACCTTCATTTTTCGCTTGGACAAACATGATGTTTCTCTAATATGTTTTTCAGATAAAAATATCTTTGTAAGAGTTAGTTATTTTTCAATTGTTTTTTGTCTTGTCGGAAATTTTTAATGGAGGCCAAACGAAAAACGTAATATCAAACTCGTATTTTCATTCTTTAAACGGTTTGGAAAAATAATTATTACATTTTTCATTTCCATAAAAATTCAAAATAGCCATTTTACGAAACAAGTGGTTTTTAAAATGTTTAAGTGTCATCCAACAAACGGTTTCACAGTTAAAACTAAAATGTCATTTTTGAAAATAAAGAATGATTATAATACGGTCGCCAAGTATAATGATTATTGATTGATTGATTATTATTGGATTGGCGTAAAGTAAATATATTATGTATGCCAGCATTTATTCATTTCATTTGTAAGACACGCTGTAGTAGACGAACACATGCGTTGCAAACAAACCCATCAACGTGACCAAGAGGAGTTGATGTTTTTATGATTTATATTGATTTATTGCAATAGCTCTTGGTTTAATTACATTTTTCAGCATATTGGCTAGTTTGTAAATCTTTATTTCTGTTCCATAGTATTGCACAACACGCGCATGGTAGAATAACTCGATATATATACAATGAAGGGCATGAAGTTTGCCACGTATGTACGGAAAAATATGATGTCTCTATTTTGAATTCTCGCTGCGTTTTGGAAATTGAAATCACAGATTTAGTTATCATACGAAAACGGTCTGATGTCAAAGCATCATTGTATACGTATACGTGTTTATATTTTTTTTTACACGTTACGTGATGTACGTTACCACTTCGACGCGTGTATAGCCGTTCGTTGTTTATTCTTAAGAGGGCACGTGCCTGTGGGATGGATTTTTTTTCCACAAGAAAACCTTTGCTCCCCAGTGCTGTGTCGAGCCTCGGAGCTTACGCACTTATCCACGCTCGTTAGCGCTACAACAAACCTATCTTTCAATATTAATTGCTCATTAAAAGTGAGTGTTTATATGAGTATATTGATATAAAAACCAAAAATGCCTAATAGTAATACGTAATATAAACCAAATGTAATCACCCTTCGTTGTCTCCCGAAACCGTAAGCAAAATTTTCGTCTCTCCAAACAGATATAATGCACTCTCAAAAAAATCAGCCTCACCAATTGAAGCGTTCAGTTTTTCTCCGGTTCCAGTTCCAACTACTATCCCGGGTGAGGTCATGGATGATCACATATCTCTGATAGAACCGTTTCCAAATGACACTTGTTAGTCATATCCAATATTTACTAACAATGTTTTCCAACTTAAATGGTTTGAAGAGTGGTCTTTATCTTGGGATTAAACGAGTTCACACTAACTTTAAAGCTAATTTTGAAGAGACTGAGCTGTCTTTCCACACATTTACATCACATACATTTTGTGGACCGTTCTTTTTGTCACCTTGAATAACCCAGGACAAGGGTAATATTTATAATGTGTACGTACCTCGTAACAAATAAAATTGACAAAACAATGCATGACGTCACGCGGAATATTATTATATTCTCAAATCGTAACGTAACGTAATTATCTACAACGATGAGAATGCTTTTTTATCGATTTCACGAACCGAATGGGTGAACATTTTTTTTCACTCGCAATCAAAATGTATGCACTTAAGAGGAATTAGTTTTGGCTTTTCAATCTTGTCGTCGCATGCATATATAAATAGATTGTACACATTCCGCTCTCGATTTTATTATTGCCGTGTGCACAAAGCCTTACGTTTTAATTGATTTCATGCGAGTCGAAAAGCGTGATTGGTTTTCAACGCGATTTGAATTCTCTTCATCGTCGTATATATATATATATATATTAATGTGTCAACGTCGTTCGATTTGAAGGGATGAACACGCGGAAATGTTAAATCGGTGATGCGCGACTGCAAATGTGGCACATAAACTCATACGCGTTGTTGGGCTGTTATTTTATACTCGTTCAAATTACGTATAATTTATAATAAATTCACCTAAACAAAACGCCCCAAAAGTATAGGGATAAAGTTTTTTTTTAATTTAAAAAGTATTTATTTTATTTTATTCATATCTGAATGAACTGTTTTTTATTTTTTTTTTCAACTCGGCAACCAGCGAGATATATATTGTTTTAAAATGTTTTAAATATCTGTTGATGTAAAAAAAAAAAAAAATATCGTCAGATTTCATTTTTGTTTTATGTGAGCCAAGAGTGTTTTTTCATTTGCTAGCTTCTGCTAGTATTCTGCATAATAATTTTTCACCGAAAAAAAGAGGACAAAAAAATACATGGATTTGATCAGTGTTCGGTTTAACGTTTTGATTATAATGAAAATATTTCGATCTTAAGCTACAAGATCACCTATTAGTTCAGATCAAATACTGTTTCACTTTGGTAAAGAGTAGCCGAGGTTTTTAGATTATACGAAGCAATATACTCGGGTTGATTTATAGTTGAATTTTTTAACACGAAAAACAAAACATTCTGATTGAAGAAATCAGAAAATTGATTTTGCAAAAGGTATTTTTTCAAAATCGATAAGATTTTGAGCTGAAGCGGATGTGTTAGTTAAACACTTATTTTCTAGTACGGTATATGGGAATTTTTTTTGTATAAATACGTTGTCCATAAAGTGGAAATAATGTTTATTCCTCCGTGTCTTAGAACACGAAGAAAAAAAAAATAATAGTTGAAAGTGATATAGGCGGATAAAAAATGCACAAAGCTTACACTAAAGGGACGGTAGAACTGAATACAGCATATCCGAGTGTAAAAAAGAGCTCGGAAGGATATGATGTACCCGGAACGCAAGCGGTCGGGACATAATTACAACAACGCAGCAGGGTTGATAAATGAAAAGCGATAATTATTATTATAATTGCCGATTGGCGTTACCGTTGACCACGTGCACGTTGATGGTGGCTGATTGTCCGAAAGTGGGCATGCACGTGTAGTTGCCGGAGTCGGTGAGCTTGGCGCGGGCTATGTGCAGCGTGCTCTTGAGACCGTCCGCCCACTCGGTGTGCACGCTTACCCGGGGCTGCCGTACCGACTGCAGGCTCGTCTGGTCCGTGTACACGGGAACGTTGCCCAGGTACCAAAAAATGGTGCCCAGGTCGTGCGGTCCCTGGCTGAGCTCGCACCGCATGCTCACCTCGCTGTCCTCCTTGACGTATAGCTCCTGCGGTCCACAGATCCTGGCCCTCATTTCTGCGAATCAAAAAACGAGCGGTCAACGAGGACAGTCTCAGAGAGCGCCCAAGAAAGAGAGGGAGAGATCGACGACAAGGGGAAGTAAACCTGCGGAAAACAATTCGTCTTGGATGTGTGCCAGACGATAGCGTTTCACGTGCGCATCATTATACAAATACATTATGTTACATCGGTTTCGTGTGCACGATACGCGATCGCACTATAATACGTCGTTATTATGATTATTACCGGAGGGGTTTCGCAACTGTCGTAGTTATATATTTATGTTGTTCTAAAGCGTAACGCGCGCGCTAGTAACTCCTCGGTGCCTCGGGCGCGTCAGTCCGTCGTATTCGCTCGACTTCGTCGTTCACCGCCGTCGCGTCGAAAACAAATAATAACACTATATCGGCGAGTTCGGGACGAAACAATTGTTTTCATCCGTATGCAATCTCGTCTTTTCCACCGAATAAACATCGCGAACGGAACGCTTTGGAGAATTTTTACGAAGTGATAAATAATTGCAGCAGGTTATTCCGGTCGGGTCAGGTCAGGCGACGAGCACAAGGTTAACCCGTTCCATTGAATATCGGAACCAGTGGTTTTCAAACATTTTTTTTTAAACTCCCATTACGCGTGTCCACAACGTTTTCACGGCACATGTCTCCGTCACGAGCAAACAACGCCTTTTCCCGTTAAAAGGGTCACTGATCGGTTTCTGTGCGTAGTTCGCCTTCGCGATGTACGGCAGCGAAGGCCACGTGATCCCTTCGTGGGTACACCACCACCGGAGAACACAAACAACAATTACGAACACAGAACCGTTACCTACTCCAAATATATATATATATATCCGTGTGTTATTGTTATTTCGAACGCGTGGGCGCACTAGCAAAAGTTGCGTTGTACGTGCGACGTATACCGCACGAACACTCACGTTCATTCCTCTCTCGTCTCATCTCGGTTATTCCACGACTTACCGTTGAATTTTAACGGAACAATTTTGAACGACTCATGTTTTATGATAGAATATACATTCGATTTATATCATCAACTATATAATATTTATTTATTTATTTAATATTTATTTTACGGTTATCGAAAAAAAAAAAAACCAGTTGGAAAATATTGTAAAAACAGTATTTACTGTTTGCTAACGAACGTCGATTCGTGTTCGGTGATGTCGGGTGCAATGGTATAATAAAAACAAAAACCAGAATTTCATAATTACGTCTGTAGCTTACACGATGTTTGCATTAATTCACCGACGAAAGTAGCATTCGCATAATTATACATGTACACGGCGGCGCGTCACTATTATGTTTTCTCGTTTTTCCGTGTCGACTATTGCATAGAATAATATTAATTTAAATTAACGCATTCTGCGTCAACACATCCGTTGATGTTGCAAGTATAATTAATGTTTAGATTTATATTTTAAAACGCTGTACGAGACGTAAATGATAACTATGAAACGGACGAATGACTAGAGCAAGTTACGGTATACACACCGAAATCATAACAACAATATTCTGTCTGGTGACCGGAGTCGAGTTTATAATGAAGAAGGTATCCAAATGGTTTTTTTTCGTTTGGAGGACGAGTTGCTTTAATTTTTTTTTTTCCATTGAACGCATAAGGCTTCAACATCTGCGGTCGTAAGCCAAACATTTTTATGTATTAACCTTAACAATTATGCGAGTTGAACATTTGAGGGGATTGGTTATATAACTCGTCTTAAATTATCTATGTTAAACCTATGCCTGCATCATTAATGCACCATGTGTCATCAGAAAACGCGAACGGCGGTGGGGCGTGCTGTGCATAGAATTTTTGCTGTAAAATGATTTTGCGAAAACTATGATGCTGTGTACCATGGTTTTTCAATGTTCATTCGGCATTAATTCCGACCTTTGACGTCGTTACGACCTAGTGCCGTCAGCCGAGGCAGTAAAAATATAGCCGCACAATTCCGAGGAAACGGTTTTCTGTGCTAAAAAGAAAAAAAAAAATAAAAATAATAAGAAAAATAACGTTCGTATATATTTGAAAACGTTGCCGCTTCGCGTGGGATCGTTATTGTATAAAGATTTCGAGACGAATTCAGAAGCGGTCAGATAAGGATGTTTCGGATAAAATCCAGTCAACGGGAGAAAATGATTTCTAGAAGCAAATAACACGCGGCTGTTAAAGTAATGCGAACTCGATAGTAATTTTACATAAAACATAGTGATTCGCTTTTTATTCGGTCGTTGAAAATTTAAAGTTTCCTTTTTAAATACAAATTACAAATCGAACCCGCGCACTGATCGAGTGGAGTTTTCCGATTTTCTTCAATGTTGTTCCGAACATTACATACTATTATGACCATGGGATAGTTTGATGGAAGCCCTGACAGTTTTATACATTTTCCAATTGAAAAACATGTGTCTGGACGTGCGAAAAAATCCGCCCCCAATCGACGTTTAAAGTTGCGAGGCGCGATTTCCAGCTTAAATTTTTCGGCTCTGAAATGACAGAACGAGCGGGGTTGCGGGGGCAGGGGAAAAAACCTTCGCAGAAACGATGTAAAGCTGATCAAATATTTCACGTTATCCGATCGCAATCTAAATTGTCATCGTGGTCACAGCGGAATAGTAGTGCACTGGATATACGGCACCATATATGTTCTTTATTTAACCGCCGTCGAGTGCACGTGCCTGTTGCAGAGTCGGTCTGAACATTTTACCCAGTCAGATCGTATAAAATCACCCACCTTAACGAAATAAAAAAAAAGGAGAGAGCCGTTCTCGATTATTACGTCAAAACGTTGAAAATGTATTACTAAACACGTTGATTTGTAGGTTACAAATGACATTTTAATTGATGTAATCGAAAAACTCGCCCGAAAAATATTGTGCTACGGCTGAGAATTTCCTCGGACGGCGTCCTCGTAGAAAATGCCAACAACCCTTCGTTCCGCAGCAGTCGGTGTATGCAATTAAATATCGTTTCGCGCGTAGTTCATATTTGCACGTCCGTCCTGTACCGACGCAATGACGACGACGAACATGACAACAGTCTGCGCATACGATTAACGCGATACCATCATAATACAGTCGCCCTAGTACCTGGTAACAAGTTTGAGCACGCGCACTCCGCGTATCTTTATCCGACCGAAGTCCCGTGATTAGAATAATTGTGTATATATATATATATATATATATATATATATAAGGATAAGTAGGTAATAATATAATAGTTTGTGCAAAGTTTAGAAGCGGTCGTTGGCCGTGGTTTAACCGCCGATGATTAAATTTCCCCCGTACCCCTTGATCTTTCTCGTTCCCGGACACAATAATAGTTCGCTGATTAATTTATGCCATTATTTAATTTAAGAATCCTCCACGCGTCGTCGCCGCGTTTCTCGACCGATCTTGCCACCACCGCGTATTGTTATTCTCTTTCGCGAACGTCCGGTTCAATAAACAGGCGACCGATGTGCGTTTGGTACGCGAGCGGATCGATGAAGTGTACTTTGCGCTTAGTAACCGTGTAAATAATGACGTTGGGATCGCCACGGAGAGTCGATGCCAAGCCCGAAAACGACGTCTCACCAGTCGAAATGTATATTTGAAGGGGGCTTATCTTTTTTATGCGATGTTTCCAATGGTAAACAGTTATCACTTTTTACAATATCGACTTTTGATTTTTTGAGAATGGCCACCAAAAAAAAAAAAAAAAATTCATTCTGAACCCCGAAAAAGTTTATTTTCTGAAAATTTCGAACCATTTTTTCAGTTAAAACTATTTAAACGGGAAAGTGTTTCACAATATTGGTTACGTATTATTAGATTACTCTTTTTCACCGCTCTAGTCCACACTTTTAATAGTTATTAGTAACAAACTGTCAGGTATAAGTTTTATGTACAGCAATGATTTAATATGACGGTAAGATAATGGTGGTGGAAACTTTTCCTCCGTCTCTCCGGTCCTTGGACTGAAATAATGGTAATGAGTGCTGGTATTGAGTTTTAAAGAAATTATAATTCATATTTTTGTATAAACCGTTTATATATTTTACCATTTTTAGTTTAATTATCGGTAGGTTAGATTGAAGGTACATACATATATTTTATCTGATCCACTTTTCTCTCATATTTTCTCTCATCTTCGCGTTCATTGTTGATCGGATCGGTTTAATTCCACTAAGAAAAAATTTTAAAACCATTTTGTTCTATTTGTACGAGTATCTATAGTTTCATTATTATTGGACGAACCAATTTTCTCTAATAAATATTTCAAGTTGAAAATTGATGTAAAAACAGTAAATTTCGTGGTAATTGTTTGATAATTTATTTACACCACAATAATAAAAATATCTAATGGTTTTAAAATATATTTAGTATTGTAAGGTAAGTATACGGGTAAGGTAATATTACATTTTTAAGTCTTCATATCCAAAAATAAAAATGTTATTACTTAAAAACTTTTAGAAAAATTAGGTGTTTCCAAATTTCTATATTTAAACCAAATATGCTTAACTTATTTTAAAAATGATGTTAAATATGAAGAAACAAAAATGTCTTTGATGTAGGGTAAAAGTTTTAACTTTCCAGTCACATTGATGTTGGAGTTATGACTAAATAACTAAAATCTGAAAAGTTTAATGTTTACAGCTTATTTTTATCGTTCTTTCTCACCTTTAAAAAAACTATTTCAGGTTGATTGTGATTCTATTTGTTAATACATGAAACGTATGGATCAGTATTCATATTCAAAAATGTAATTACAGAAAAAAATAAAAATAGAAAAATAATTGTAAAACCATATAATCATTTGCTTCAGATTCCAAGAAAAATATAATTTATTTGGGATAAAAATATTATTATTTTAGTTAGAATCAAACATAGAAAAATGTTTGGTAAAAATATTAAAACAAAATAATGCCAAATTACTATTACTTCCTTTTATAAAGTCTGATTGAGAGAACTATTCTGTTTCCTGTATATATATTTTAAAAATGTTGATCAATAGAA